ACTTTTAGGTTACATCCACTGGCAACGCTGCTTCCACCCCACTATGCCCTTGAGGATTGCACTGTAGCTGGTTATCACATTGCTAAAGGAACAACGGTGTTTATAAACACATGGAGTATGGGGAGGAACTCAAAGTATTGGGATTCTCCTGAAGAATTCATTCCAGAGAGGTTTTTGGGGAAGGATATTGACATCAAGGGACATGACTTTGAGCTGTTGCCCTTTGGCTCAGGTCGGAGGATGTGCCCAGGCTATGTCCTTGCACTCAAACTTGTTGGAACAATGTTGACCAACTTGTTGCATGGATTCAACTGGAAATTGCCTCATGGCATGAAACCAGAAGAAATTTGCATGGAAGAACACTACGGACTCTCAATTCATCCAAGGATTTCACTTGCTATGATCCCAGAACCACGTTTGCCGGTCAATCTCTATTAGCAAGTATTGATTTAAGGCAAAATTGAAATATATTCCTGCTCTGTATATGTAAACTGTTAAACTCATTCTCCGCTCTCCGATTATATCATTTAGCTCATTTTAGGTGAGAGCTTAGGAATCGAGACAGTATAATTGCCCTTTTGGTAAATTTGCATTGTGAAATAAAATAAAAGTCAGAATCAATTTTTTTTTTCTTTCTTTAAATTGCTTTTGGTGAATTCTGTTGTGAAATAAAACAAAAGGTCACAATCAAGTTTATTTTTTTATTTTTTTGCTAGAAAACAAACAGGCAAAATATCGCAATAATGACATATGGAAAATTGACATGGAAATATTGAAGATTGCAGAGAGTAAAAACTGACTCTCCCTTGTTAGCAAAGAAAATAGGTATGCAACGGAAATAGGTATCTCAAAAATTTGAGAAACAAACAAGGCACTCAACCAGGGCCTCAAATCTGTTTAAATTCTGGATAACAAAAGTAACATTTACGAAAGCAGAGTTGACAGGCAAATTTATGACTCGTTTGTACACCCTAATCACCCAAATACAAGACCTATAAATAAGACAAAACAAGTCTGACTCCTGACTTGAATACTACTCACATATGTCCCTTACAATAGGGCTAAGCTAATTACTATGAACCCAATTCCTATGCAACTTCAAGAATTTAACCCAAAATAGATTGAACATAAATACCCAATTTAAGTAAAACACCTTTTAATAAATAAAACCCTAATTAGCTTAGTGTAATATTTGCTAACTTTGTCTTTTTTAAACTAAACTTAAAAACTAGTCGAATGCTTTGTCGCAGTGTAGAAAATGTGCCACTCTAAATTGTACCAATCTTCATCTTTGCACATAGGATTGGTTTAGACTTGTGTTTGTGCAAATAATTTGATTGCTTATTTTGCTTCATCAATGAATTCATCCATATTCACCCATATATGCCATTAGGGTTACCACCGTCTTGACATGATGATCATCCGGATCCATGCAATTCTAAAAAAAACCAAGAAACACATTTTTTTTCCTCTTGCCATTTATTTCCAATGCAAAAAATTTTCAGTTGCACAATTTCCAACAAATTTAACCACCCCACAATTGAATCGAGGGTAAATTACATATACCCCCTCCCCCCCGGGGTGGTTTTATCTATTTAACCCTTTGTTGCAGTGTAGAAAATGTGTCACCCTAAATTGGGTACACATTACATAGAAAAAAAAAAAAGTTACAATGTGCAATCTAAGTAGCAGAGTTACGCTACGTACAAATCCTGGGGGCTGGGGAGTGGATTCTTAATGGGATTATTGGGCTTGAAAGCTTCCAAACCTGTACATGCCATTTGGGTTGGTCCAAGGTGCGTCTAGGAAGATATTCGGCCTAGATGAAAATGAAGATCCTAATTATTCTTTTTCTGGGCATATCAGTTTTGCCCTCTCACCCACGTATATTCATTCTTGGGCTTTAAACCGGATCATAGAGCCCGAAATTTCGGTCAACTTACACGCGAAGAAACTTGCAGAACTCGTCGCCAATACCATCACCCCCCATAATCCTTATTCCAAGGCTCTTTGATAATATATTTTATCTTTAGAAAAAATATTCATATTCCTTTCGTTGAGGGTAAATCTTTATATCTAATTCATCAAATTTCATAACTTTGATATGTTGAAAGGCATCATATCTATTTAAATCTTCAAAGTCTGGTCCAGTCGAAATAATCTTGAGCATCAAAATATATTTGGGATCATATATAGGATTATTTTGATAAATATGCTTTTACTCCTTCTTGAATCTACCGAGGGAGTTTGAAAATTTCAGAAAAAATAGGAGTAGTCATATAGATTACTCCAAAATTGTACCATTTTTTAATTTCTTTGAAGCGTCTAAAGGAGAAAGGATGCATAGGTATTGGGTTTGTTCGGGTACAAATTTTTTTTCTCAAATAATATTTTATTTACGTCATAAATATATCTTTTAACCATCTTTTTTATGTTTTTAACTATCTTTTTATCACATATGCATTACACCACAAAAAAATGTTATAATATTTTTTCAAATAATCTTTTATCCAAAGATGATCAACGTGATCTGTAAAATCTATTGGAGATGGTTTCTTCGATGTATCCCTTTGACAATCTGGCTAATCAAGTGCTGGGGTTTGGACAAAACCTACAGCACTTTTGTTTCATAGTAAACTTAAAAATTAAATTGTAAACTTAAAAATTCTCAAAAAGAATACTCCATGGGCACTCCATTCCCGCGCCTCGCGGGGGGATCTTTAGTAATCAACTCAAGCTACTTAGGTTGATAGTAATTTCTCCCTAAATTGTTTTTATTGTCAAAATTATTTCCTTGTTATCTTTTTTGAGCTTTTTTAAGTGCTCTAACTTCCATATTGATTAGTTAATAATTTTTTTTGGGGCAAAAGGAAAATTTTCTTTTATTGATCTGTGAATTGTAACTTTACAAAGGAAACAAAATCCTACTGCATCACAATCTCTATTGTAATATCTACACTATACAAAAACAGACAGAACAAACTACCAAATTCCAGTAGCTTAATCCACCAAACAGTCTTGATCCAAGCACCACTCAAGCATCAGTTGCCAATTTGTCTTGGTCCTTGGAGAAATCACTTTGATCACATTTTCCACAATTTTGACAATTCCTGCCGACGAATCCCGAAATATCCTGCTCTTCCTTTCTTGCCAAATATGCCAGACAGTGATTGCTAAAACAAGTCGCCTTGGTGTTGACACAAAAGAACTAGAAATTGTTAGGATACTTTCATTGTTATTTTTCTAAAAGGTCCATGTTTAATTCGTTACTCGCAATTGAGCCCTTTCTATCATAATGAGTACCAATGCAATTAATATTTACAAAATGTTCGCTATACTTCACTATATATATATATATATATATATATATATATATATTTTACTAACCCCAAAAATGAAACTTCGTCTGTAAAATACTTGGAGACTTGTGTTAGCTAGCGTAGTGTAGCAATTGTGGAGAGCAAGAAACCGGGTTATTTTCAGCAAGCATCGGTATCTGCTGTTAGCATAATTTCTGCTGTCCAAATCTTACTTTTCAACGAAGACATACCAAATCTATGAAATTTTTGATAACTAGAACCCCACTAAACTTGTGGAGAGCAAGAAACCGGGTTATTTTCAGCAAGCATCGGTATCTGCTGTTAGCATAATTTCTGCTGTCCAAATCTTACTTTTCAACGAAGACATACCAAATCTATGAAATTTTTGATAACTAGAACCCCACTAAATGAACAATATCTCCACGTATCATCTTATGCGCTAATCAACAAATTTCCTTCTGTGATTTTTGTTACCATTGCTGCTACGACAAATTTTTTCACGCCTATACGCCCAGCATTGGCCGCCACCACGTGATGCACCATGTTTGGCCATAAGTTAAGAATAAATCTTATATGCATTGACAGTGTATATGCTACCATCGTTGGATTCATAACATGTGTGTAAAAATTAAATTTCAAATTCAAATTTTACATCGTTGTTATTCATTCAATACTGAAAGTGTATACACTGTCAGTATAAGAAAAATTAATCTACAAGGAATGGTGGTTGAATTTTGTAAGGAGACTAAACAAGAAATAAATTGAGAAAGGTAAGGAGACGGAGAGGAGGGAAGGGATGGATGGGAAGGGGTGACAACTACAAGGGGTTTAAAAAGAGTGGAGTGATAATTTTTTTATAACCATTTTACTTTTTAATTTTGGGATAATTTCAGAAACCTCCCCTGAGGTTTCTGACAGTTTCACTCCCCTCCCCTGTGGTTTCTGAAATTCCACAAACCTCCCCTGTCAGATGGTGAGGTCCCATTTCTTACATCATTTGTGTCAAAAAGACTTAAATACCCTTACAATTTTGTTAATATTTTGTGATTATCTGAAAGCTATTAGTTAAGTTAGTTATAAACACAATTAATGTAATTAACCATAAATTAGAGTCCTAAAAACGAAAATAGAAAAGGGACCGTTGTGAAATGGCGCCAAACTTAGGCGCCATGCTCTTGATCTGATTGACATAACAGCTTGAAAGGCACGGTGCATATAGAAGCAAGAAACTTGGTCTGTTCCCGCCATTGTTTGTGTTATAGCAATTGAGGTTGATGGTTGGCAAACAAACTTGTTGATTCTAACATTTGCTGAAGAAGAGTCTCTTTCTGGCAAACAAACTGTGTTACCAGGTAAGCGTTTAAGATTTCAGAGACTGTTTCAATATTCCTTGGTAGCTTACTTCTAATTTGGTTGTTGTTCGTATAAGCTTGATACATGTTTGCTTATGATTTTCTGGTTTGTCACGTGACTTGGTTTGCTAAGCCTCTACCAGTTGATGCTTGATTGCTTCTATATTTCTCGTCTGACTTGGATTGTTTGATATAGTTAGATGCCAAACCTTAGTAGCTTATGCTTTCTCTGTAACTTCAGCAACCAATGTTGCAAGATGGTTAATTTTGTAACTAATATTTTCTGTAACTTCAATAACTTCAGTAGGCTATGATTGTCTATTGTAGGATGGTTAACACTGATGTTCATGATATTGTAGTCCATTGTATGGGAAGAAAAGTAAGAGTGGCTAAGGTAAATCCCAAGAGTTACATGTATTCCGACTTACTAAATGATGTTGCTGAGAAGGCATTGCAAGAAATGTCTGGAAATGTCAATCTACTGGTGCACATGAGATGCGAAATACCTGGTACAGCTGAGTACTTAGATGTGAATGATGACCAATCTGTTGCTGAAATGTTCAAGGTGCATCAATCTCATGTAGTCATTAATATACAAGTGTTGGAGATGGATATCATCCCTGCAGAACAGAGTGATAGCTTCCTAAACAGAAATGTAGTAAATGAGCATGAGAATTTAAGAACTGAAAAAACTGGTAGAGGCAAGAATATCGAAGTTCATGAATTAAATTGTGAGACTGAGGAGTACATTAGTGATTCTACTTCTGATGACTCATGGAATCAAGGTTGGGACAGTAACAATGAGGATAATTTAGGTGATGAGCATTGGTCTGTATCCCAAAGTGACAGTAGTGATGATGATTTTTCTGACTTTGATGACAAGGAAAATGAGGATATTGTACCTGATTCTGAATCTGAACATGAAATAGATCCCATGAGAGAAGCCTTAAGAGGCAAGATGTGGACTTACAACCGAAAAGAAGACATAGAGTTTAAGAAGGGACAGCTTTTCACAAATGTTGATGCTTTTAGAGCAGCATTAAAGGATTTTGTGATCCAAAAAGGTTTTCCCCTACAAAGATTGAAGAATGAAAAAAGCAGATGTACAGCCAAGTGTGGTGTTGATGGATGCAAGTGGAGAATTCATGCCTCACCTTTAGCAGATTCAGTGACGTATATGATAAAGTCATACATACCAGAACACACTTGTGTGATGGACAGCAAGAATCGAGAGGCCACCTCTGATTGGATGGCAAAGAAACTTGTTGCTGTGATGAGAGATCATCCAGACATTTCCAGAAAGGAGATTGAAGCTGAGATGCTAAAATATGGTGTTCATCCTAGCAAACAACAAGTATACAGGGCAAGAGAAAAGGCCAGGGAAGAAATTGAGGGTACACATGCAGCTTCATATAGTAAGATACCAAAATATGTTGTTCTTCTAAGGCAGAGCAATCCTGGTAGCTTATGCAAAGTTCATTATGACAGACCCAATTTACTTGTCGAACCAAGATTCTTAAGATTGTTTATAAGTTTCAAAGGTCAGAAAGACGGTTTCTTAACTGGTTGTAGACCTTTTATTGGTTTTGATGGTTGTCATTTGAAAGGCAATTTTGGTGGAGTATTACTCACTGCTGTGGCATTGGATGCAAATAACTCAATTTTTCCTATTGCATTTGCTGTAGTTGAATCTGAAAACAAAGAAACCTGGAGCTGGTTCTTCTACTTTTTCCAGGAATTCTTTGGACCATTTCATAACAGTGTTCCTTTAACATTCATGAGTGATAGACAAAAGGTATAGACCTTGTTTACTTTACTATCATGGCAAATGTCTCATTCTATATGTCCAGCTATGCCTATTATTTGAATGGTTTTAACTCAATTGCTGTAGGGATTGAATCTTGCTTATGAGGAGCGAATTCCATTAGCTACTGGAAGGCATTGTTGCAGACATATTTGCAGCAACTTTAGGCTTCAATTTCCTGGAGTATTACTGAACAGTTTGTTCTGGAAAGCTGCTAAGAGCTATGATGCATTAGGCTTCAATGAAGCAATGGCCTCCATTAAAGACATGAATGTAGAAGCATGGAGATAATTATCAAAGATTCCACCTGCATCTTGGGCTAGGCACGCATACTCAACTGAGATAAAGTGTGACCATGTCACAAACAATTTTACTGAATCTTTCAATGCATGGGTGGGAGATTTAAGAGCTAAACCAATACTGACTCTTGCTGATGGTTTAAGAAAAAAGCTCATGAAAAAGCTGCATAAAAGATATCACAAGGCCTGCACATGGAGCTCTAACATCACTCCAAAAATCACTAAAAAGCTGAAGGAAATTGTTGGACTGTCTAGGAGATGCTCACTGCAAATGGCAAGTGAGGAGATATTTGAAGTTGGTGATGTGGACAGAGAATACATTATCAATTTGACCCAAAAGACGTGTGATTGTGGTGCTTTTCAACTGTCAGGACTACCTTGCAAGCATGCTGCACTAGGCATTATATATAGAAGACAAAAAGTAGAGGCTTACTGTGATGGTTGCTTCTCAACAGAAATGTGGATTAAGGCATATAGTGGCATAATTCACCCAATTCCTCATGAGAAACGATGGCCTCCATTACCTGATGTCACTCCAGCAATTGTCCTACCACCACCCCTGAGGAGAACTCCAGGTAGACCAAGAGTGAATAGAAGGCGAGGACCTGATGAACCAGTTTCATCTCAGACAAAGAGGTCTACTACTCTGAGATGTAAGAACTGCAATGCATTTGGCCATAATAAGAGAACATGCCAAAGAGCACTTGTGAGAGGAAATAACTCTACCTCGCAAACAAATCAGCAGGTTCATAACTGATTTCTAATATTGATCATGTTACTTTGTTCACCATACTTAAGATTATGACATACAACTTAATGTACAGATTCCTAAGAGAAGAGCAAGGCCTGGCAGGGGAATTGCAAACACAGGCTTGTCAGGAGCTGTTCTCTGGGTAAACGTTACTTCATTATATGTTTAGTGAGTGCTGAAACTGTTTACTATCAAATTAACAACTGTTAACTATATTATGAGAAGATTTTCCTAATGCAGGATCACATAGAGGGTAGTGTGCCTGTTGTGATTTCCAGTTAAAGCAGCAATCCAAGTCCATCAACTGAACCTGGTGCAGCTAATATTCAAGCTGATGTACAGGCAACTATGGATGCTGCTAAGAGAAAGGTACATCCAGTTGCTTTTTGGTCATTTTTTTTCATTTCTGAGTTGCTCACCCTATGCACTTGTCCTACATCATTTCAGAGAGGAAGGCCCTCAAAGAAAGATGGAACATTTGCTGTAACTAACATCAGGAGGAGAACTTCATTTGCAGCTTCACAACCAATTCCATTAATGCCAATTGCTGGCGTCAATTCTACCAAAAATTCCCACTTACAAACTTCAGTGAGCACCAATACATCAGCTAATCATGAGTCGCACAATCTCAGCAGCAGCTATATAGCTTGAGGTTTTAAATAGTTAGGCCTCCCTTGTCATATATTGTTGCTAAGAGAATACTGATGTTCTTTTGAATCTGTTTACGATTGGAGATACTTTTGTCATTATTACTTTTGCTGAAACTTTGCTGAAATGCTTGGTGCAACTTTTGGTTTTGTATACCATCTATGGACTTAGTACCTATACATGGTCTTTTGCTTGACATTTGAATTCCAAGCAGTAGTGTAAATTCATTAAAGACATACATTTTGTATCTTTGAAGTAAAGTGCAATATGCAGGGATTCTACAGGTTCTGCAATTTTTGTATGCACAGATTGTATGGTGTTGTCTTATTAAGATCATAATAGACAATGTCTTGCATGCACATATGAATAAACTGAAAGTGACAATTTGAATAAACTGATTTCATTAAACTGACTTCACAATTTGAATAAACATATAAATTGCTAAAAATACAAGGTTAAGTAGCATTAGCTTTGTCACTATGGAGTATTGTTCTTCAACTCTACCAATCTGGACTTGTTCTTCCCTTTGCATTGATGAATGTCTGCGTTCTCTTTGGCTGCTCACCTCTTCCTCTTCTGGACCTTCATACCATTCAAAGAATCTGCAATTTGTGCAGCAAAAGTACAGCTTGTGTGGATTCCGTTCACTCTCAGAAATTTTAATGGTTGCCTTGCGATTGCATCGACAATATCTATTTCTAATTGTAAATGATGTAGGTGAATTCCAGAATTCACCTCTGTTGCTTGAACTGGCCATTTGCGTGTGTGTTTGTTGCTGCTGCAATTCAAGATGGAACACCAAGCACTTCAGTTGCATCCAACACCAAGCATTTTAGTTGCATCTCACAGATTAACATTTGTCTGTTGTTGTTTGTTGCATCTGTGGCTGCTGCATTTTACTCTGATAAATAGCCTTCGGAGTTGGCCGTTGCATGTAGACGTTAGAACTGGCTGCCAGAAAGAGCCGTTGCATTGCATTTGTTCACTACTCCTCATTGTAAGCTTCTCTGTTGATTGGTCTCACTTACACCCCCTCAAGTTTCATTCTTCTTAAATTCCCTCATTTTTCTTCACATTGCATTAGCTCTCTAACCCAAGATAATGAGGGCATTTGTGGAATACACTTGTTTCTCTCTCCAGCTACTAATTTTTTATTGTTTGTATTTTGAAATTGGGTCTATTTTGGCATCCCCTATTTAGTTTTAGGGGAGGTTTGTGGAATTTCAGAAACCACAGGGGAGGGGAGTGAAACTGTCAGAAACCTCAGGGGAGGTTTCTGAAATTATCCCTAGTAGTTAAATAAAGGGTTAAATACCAAAAACCCCCTTGTGGTTTGACTAATGTTCACTTTACCTCCCTATGGTTTGGAAACCTATAATTTAACTTCCTGTCGTTTCAACTAAAGTGAAAGTCTAACAGAAAACATCTATAATAACGGTATTTCTATCAGACTTTCACTTTAAGTGAAACGACAATGAGTTAAATTGTAGGTTTCCAAACCATAGGAAGGTAAAGTGCACATTTCGCAAACCACAGGAGGGTTTTTGATATTTTACCCATTCTCAAATGCACGAAACATTCTTCCAAGGGTTTGACTTATAGAGGGGCAATTTTGATATTTTATTTTCAGAAGTTAGTTTAGATGTTTTCCGTCAGACTTTTACTTTAGTTGAAACGACGGGGAGTCAAATTGTAGGTTCCCAAACCATAGGGAGGTAAAGTGAACATTAGTCAAACCATAGGGGGGTTTTTGGTATTTAACCCTTCAATAAATGATCTGATTCATATTTATTTTTAGCCCTGAAAAGGTAGAATCTAACCTAAACAATATTCTTTTTTTTTTACCAAAAAGTGGAATTTGATCTTTTTATATATAAAAATGACTATATATAAGTTACGTGGTGATTTCATGCTAAAAAGTAATCGAAAACTTAGTTTGGAATCAAGTTTTATCGATTTTTTTGGTCAAATGTTCCACTTTTTTATTAACTAAATAAAATAAAGATACCAAGATTTTGAGGAGGGGCCGAACCAGACCTCAAGAGCTCTTGAAATTATTGACTAACTTTATAAGGGATGTAAAATTAATATTTTAAAAATGAAGAAAAAATTATTTAACAAAATGTGAGAAACGTTTTGAACGATTTTCCTATTAAATAACTATAAGTACGTACTATACTTTTCCAACTAGTAATAGAAATTTTGTTACACATGAAGATTGACTCCTCTTCAAAGAAAAGTGAAGTGACACCGGGATACATGTTTTTCTTTGTAGACATGTCCAATGAATGTCTCGGTTCCTTCTAAGAAGAAAACCGAAGATATTTTACTCAAGTGCAATGTCTCTTAAATATCATTGTCAGGAAGAAGACATTTACTGATGTTCTGATGTTGAATGCTGAAATGTGTAAGAAGCAAACCTTTTTTTATTTTTGCACAACCAATATAAGATGCAAGTAAAAGTGTCCTAGAAAATGATTTTGATAGTCCCTGATAGGGTAAAAGACAATTTCCTAATTAATTCAATCGATTGTGTATCAAGTGTATGTAAAAGTCACTCACCCTCCTTACATAGTAGTCCCTTGATCACCTTCATTGATTGGGAAAAACTGGAATTTTGTAATCGACTCACAATAACTTCCAAAGCTTGAGTCCCTATGAGTCACAAAAGAGGGTTTTAGCTCCCTGCAAATTCTTAAAGTTTTCTTTCGGCGGCTTATAAGTTTTAGGAATTAATTCAAGCTAATTAGTTTGAGTTATTTCTTCCTAACCTGTTTTGTTGTCGACATTAATTTCCTTCTTATCATCACTTAATTCCTTGTCCTTTTTTAATGCTTTAGCTTGCATAATGATCAGTTAATCAATTATTAAATTACTTTTGTTATCAGTTTTCAATAAAATGATTTTGTGCCGAGAAGGCGTCGATTTAGTAGTTAAGGTTGATACTTCAAAGTTTAGAAGTTCAGGATTCTAATCCCACTATCTCGTCTTTACTTTTTAAATCTCACTCTAAGATGATTATGTAGTTGTTTAAACTTGCTAAAATGTGCATCTAAGAGGAATTAACACTAGACGTTCCCATTCTTGTTTTTTCTCCCCCATATGAAACTTGTGCCTAAAACTTACCAAATTTAAAACTTATGAACTGAATATATTGAAGCTGAAAAATATGGGATGTCACACTTGATAAACGTTTTTCAAATGTCAAACAAGAACATAAAAATTCACCAATCTAGGAACCCCAGGCTCCCTTTGCATGGGCCTCCTTCTTTGTGGTAGAAACTACTCATGGAGTGGAGGACTCTACGTCAAATGAAAAAAACAAAGTAAAATGTCACCCAAAGTACATTTTGTAGAAATGTTTAATAAATGTCTTATTTCTTTCATAGAAAGTCCAATGCCTTCTCAGAAGAAAAAACTGATGATATTTTCCTCAAATCCAATGTCTCTTGAGTATTATTTTGTTGTTTGGATGCATTTTTATTTACAAATTTTTTTATTACATCAAAAATAACTTTTTAATCACATTTTAATCTTACATATTATATATATATTTCACATATATCACATATCAATCTAAGATTTTCTTTTCA